GGTAAGTGCCCATCTCTACACGCATGAAGCAACCGACGCCCTGATCCAACTTGCTTCACCCTTTATAGATCCGCACCTTCCCTCGCTCCATAGTCGAGAAAGACGCTGCGAGAACAACGCACGAGGAATGAAAAAGGCTACGATGCCACAATCGACCATGGTGGGGACGACGATCAAAAGCGATCGGAGAGACTAACCACGATCACAAAAAAATCCCCTAAAAAAAAAAAAAAAAAAAAAAAAACAGATACAATTGCATTCGTGGGCTGCTCTTGACCACCAACGAAACATGCAAAATAGGAATGAATCTTCCGCTAGAACGCGGAAAAATACCTTAATATTTTTGGAAATCTCTTCTCCCCGGGCGCAGTCCTCAATAATCCTACCACCGAATCCACATACTAATTTTCGAATCTGACTTTACCATCGGATTTGCACATCCTTCAAACCTCCAATTCGTGTCTTCACTCTCTTGCTTCCATTCGGGAACGAGCAACCTATATAATCCATGCGTTATCCATCACCACTCTTCTCCGCGCAACTTTCCCTCTTTCTGTCTCTTGTTTTACTAAGTTAAACTTACTATCAAAACTAACACCACACTCTCCTTCGCCTTCCCAAAAAAACCATAGATTTGGCTTTTATTCCACGAAAATCCATTAAGAAACGGAAATATACGATCTTTCTCCCTCTCTTTTCCTCTAAGTCCATCGCTATCTCCCCGCACATTATTCTCTTACTAACTCCTAAACTACTGACTCTTTGCTAAAACTAACGCTACCACTAAACTCATCCGGTCCACAAACCCATGTTCGCATCTTTTCTCGCTCGAATCTATTAAGGATTGGGCGTGATAGGCAGTTTCAACCCTCACTTCTCTTGCACCTTCATCGCCATCACCGTACTTTGTCGTGCGTGCATCCGGCACCGCTTCGCGTCCGGGTTTATTCGCCTTTTTTACTGCCCTGTGTCCGCGCTGCCTTCCCTTGCCTCCGCAACCGCTCGTCGCTCACTGCCTTGCCTCACTGTCTGTTCTCCAAATGCATTCGACATGATTTTTGTGCCTGGATTCAATCTCCCTTCCCACTAGCACTTCGCCCTTTTTTCTCTGCGCTCACCTTACCTCTTCGGCTGCATGGCTCGTTTCTTTTGTTAGCGCACCTCCTCCCGACAGTAACAACCCCGCTGCGACCCACAACCTACTCAACAACTCCCGCTGTCCTTAGGGAAACTTCAGAGGGAACCAGCTACTAGACGGTTCACTTAGTTTTTCGCCCTTACAGTCAGGCCTGATGAGCAGTGTGCCCAACTGGCTTCACCGCCAGCTTGCTACAGCCTCTTTCGGCCCACCTTACTCCGGTTGGGCCCACCACCTCTTCTGGGTTTCCCTTGCCCCACCTCTTCTTCAACTTCTCAACGGACCAGCCCTACCCCAGTCTCCCATAGCAGGCGGCGGGGCCGGGGGCGCGGTTCTGCCATATGCCCAAGCGCGGGTTTGGGGGAAACGCCCGACGCAGATCTTCATAGTAGTGGCAAAAGGCTTAAATAAGAACCTCGAAGACCGAACTGGAGGAGAGTCTCCTGGACATACTTAAACTCACTACCTCTACTGCAGATTGCGGGGAATGAACGATGCTTCCGTAAAAAACACCCCGCCACTCAAGTTTGCTCCGGCCCATAGGGCTACTCACTCTTTGGTCCACATGCACGTTGACTCCCTTAGTCCATGTTTCAAGCAGTCCGAACAGAAAAACCTCGCCAGCACCCCAATCACGCAAGGGACCCGTAGGTCAGCCAAAGGAGTGCGCTGTCAAGATCTCCGCCCACGGTGACGGCCCTCAAACCCGGCGTCGTTGTCGAGTCAAGAAATGCCGACGCATAAAAAATAATCATGATATAATAATAAAATAATAAATACCTAAACTTCTGATCATCAGAGTACGACGAACAAGGGGCAAGAGACCGCCAATACCGTTTTGACGCCGCCGACGACAAACTCAAGGGGATAGCCCCATCGAGCCCTCCGCGGTGCTCTGATATCCCCGCATCGTTGCCGCTTGATCTCGATCCCTAAATCTTTTCGATGAAAGTCCTACGCTATAATCAATAATGCTAGGCCTAAGTCTGGGTCTAGTTTTGACGGATACCTAAATAAACGGATATTGCACGATGCGTGGATCTACTAAAACGTTTCAAACCCCCACATCGGCCTATCAACAAAACTCACGACTGTCAACCTTCCGCGTCCACCGCGCAACTATACCGAACCATGCAGCCGTCAATGTCGTCCTCCTCACATGCGCACAAGTTACAAGCAAGCGCATCAATCAAGAGACATAATCTTTTTAATCCTAGTTTAATAAGAAAAACAAATAAAATATGGTCGATGATCACGCCGACTCTTCAACCATCAATAATTAAAAAATCACGCGCGCCTCAAACTTGCGCCCCCCCACACTCTCTGCTCTAGCCAACCATCCTGTCAGCGTAAATCACAGATGCAGCCGCCTTCGCGCGGTATACTTAACCCTTAAATCAGACTTAGTTTTTTGTCGCTTGCAAAAACCAGGGCGGATACCCTTGTAAGGGTATTCGCGCCGACAGCGGCTTCAGGTAGTTATAAGGATAAATCTAAGCACTCTTTTACTGTTAAGAGTGAGAATGTTGAGTTTTCTGACACCAAAAAAAGATCATATGGCAAGACTTTAAACTTCATATTTAAGTTGCCCCACTGTGAGCCGTGAATACGAGAGTTAGCTCTTATGTTACAATCCGTGATTTCATCTGGATTGCAAAGAGTAATGGAGCCAGAGCGCAACCTTGTCTTAAAGAGCGGCTCAGAGAGAATTCGTTGGATAGTCTCACATTCACTAACACTGCTGCTGTCGACATCGAGTATACGGTAACCACCCAAGTACAAAACGACTTTCCGAAACCCATTATATTTAACGTCGTCATAACATATGACCAATTAACTCGATCATATGTTTTTTTCGGGTCGCTTAGTAAAACAATAAAGTTCCGGTCTTCACTATGAATGATTTATAGCATTTCAACTGCAGTCTTTATGTTAGTGAAAATCGACTTGGTCCGGTAGCACTAACTTCTGAAGGTATCTCCCTATCTCTGCGCTAAGATCTTGACCAAAAGTTTTTAGGCAACATTTAGAATCGAGACTGGTCCTTAACTTCTCATTTCGGATCTATCACCTTTCTTAAAAAGAACAGAGATGATGCCGCTGCAGATATTAGTTGACAAACTCCCACCGATTAGGATTTAGCTGTATATCTAGTCCAGACAGTCTCCAACCTCATCCCAGATCGATAGGTATAGTTCCACTGGGAGACCATCATCTTTTGGGGACTTACCTTTTGACATAGCTCTCAATGTCTTCTCTCAATTTCACGACCTTTTGACATAGCTCTCAGTGTCTTCTCTCAATTTCACCTTTTAGTACCTTCCTACCTACCACTAAGCTGCAGATGCATGTTGCACCCCACCCTAATCCGTGGTGGGTGGGGAGTAGGGCGGGGGGGGTTGGCTAATGCAAAGACGGAGTCCCTATCGAGTAACAGCGATGTCTATGGCCAGCACTCTCGCACACACACACTCTCGCACACACACACACACACACACACACACACACACACACACACACACACACATACACACACACACACACACAGACACAGCCGTGATGGCCAAAGCCCCTACCAATACTGATCGGGAGGAGCAAGGCAAGTTAGCCAACTTTCGCAGTTGGTTGGCGTGAAGCATGGCCAGGCGGTCGGTGGGGATTGAACCCACGATCTCCCGAATGCCACTTGCTGGGCTAACCATAGGGGTCTTGCTCGGTCACTGTTTTTGGGTCTCTGCGCCGAGGGAGGGCTGGGTGTCACCATGTGCGAGTGTGCGAGCAGGTCTCTGGTGTGTGTGTGTGTTTTTTTTTTTTTTTTTTTTTTTTTTTTTTTTT